TAGGGATCCTGGGGACGAGACCTAGGAATCCTGGGATGCTACACCCTGTCGATCAGATGATCAGTGGGATGAGCACCAGGGCGAGGGGAACCTAGGGATCCTGGGACGATGCTACACCCTGTCGATCAGATGATCAGTGGGATGAGCACCAGGGAGGAGGGGAACCTAGGGATCCTGGGGACGATGCTACACCCTGTCGATCAGATGATCAGTGGGATGAGCACCAGGGCGAGGGGAACCTAGGGATCCTGGGGGAACGATGCTACACCCTGTCGATCAGATGATCAGTGGGATGAGCACCAGGACGAGGGGAACCTAGGGATCCTGGGGACGATGCTACACCCTGTCGATCAGATGATCAGTGGGATGAGCACCAGGACGAGGAGGAACCTAGGGATCCTGGGGACGATGCTACACCCTGTCGATCAGATGATCAGTGGGATGAGCACCAGGACGAGGAGGAACCTAGGGATCCTGGGGACGATGCTACACCCTGTCGATCAGATGATCAGTGGGATGAGCACCAGGACGAGGAGGGGAACCTAGGGATCCTGGGAGCGATGCTACACCCTGTCGATCAGATGATCAGTGGGATGAGCACCAGGGCGAGGGGGATCCTGGGGGATGATGCAGATGATCACCCCGAGGGGAACCTGTCGATCAGATGATCAGTGGGGGATGAGCACCAGGACGAGGGAGGCTAACCTAGGGATCCTGGGGACGATGCTACACCCTGTCGATCAGATGATCAGTGGGATGAGCACCAGGACGAGGGGAACCTAGGGATCCTAGGGACGATGGTACACCCTGTCGATCAGATGATCAGTGGGATGAGCACCAGGACGAGGAGGAACCTAGGGACGATGCTACACCCTGTCGATCAGATGATCAGTGGGATGAGCACCAGGACGAGGGGGAACCTAGGGACGATGCTACACCCTGTCGATCAGATGATCAGTGGGATGAGCACCAGGACGAGGGGGAACCTAGGGATCCTAGGGACATGGTTACACCCTGTCGATCAGGTCACCAGGCCTTTGCAGCGAACATGATATAGTTTCATCTGTAAAAGAACCTTAGAATTGTATTCCAGTAGAAATGTACTATAAAAATAATGTGAAGAGACGCTTGTTCATAAACATAATGTTTGTAGAGAAAGTGTGTTGTTAGTTGTTTCTGACAAATAAAAGTGAAAACAACTACTTTTTAGGCGAACACCTGATCCATTGCTTTTGAGATATTGTGTGAAGCAGGTGCTTTTCCATTCCAGTGATAGGGTATGATGGTCCGTTTGGACCAAAATTATAAAAATTAGGATGTCAGTCTCAAATAATTCTTTCATTTCATTTTCTTATATTCAACTTAAGTCACTCTATAAGTTAGCAACTTGTCTGCTGACTTATTATCTAACGGACTTTAACCTATAAAGTGGTAATCTCTGAATTGACGTTACCAACATAAGTCTAGACTTGGTACCACTGATTATCAGATACTGCTGTCATATGTTTCAGGTGTTAGGAGGTGAAACAGAATATACTAACTCCTGAGTTTAGTAACACGTTAGAGTCAGGGCTCGACAATATCGTCATGATGACAGCGTTCACAAGTATGTTACCAATATTTTTTACAAAATGGGGTATACATTATGTATAACAAAAGTTATCATCTTTCAGGTTAGAATGATACCTTCTGTGTCTGACTTCTGATTTTTAAACATCAAAATATAAATTGTTTTCTTAATGAAATAACTTGGAATACACACCCGTGTATGTGTAAATATACATTGACCTGACCTCCAGACCGCATGCAAATTTGCTCCTTGTGTAAATGTACCCACATGTGTAGATACGTTCGCATGACACGTTTACACACGTGTGTATTTTTTACATGGTGTGTAAATTAGCTCACGTGTGTAAACAGGTCCATGCGAACGGTATATTACTTACATAAGCAAATATACTTCTGAAAGTACATGTGTGCATGTAAAAGCGGCTTTAGTTAAACACTGTGTACATCAGCTGAAGTCATCACATTAAACTTACTTTATTTAGGGCGGAATGTATAGATCTACTGCAAATTTATAAAAAGTATTCTCTTTTATTTGTGCCTTGTCTCCCAGTCTCAGTTTAAAGCTGGTGGGAGCAGCATCACAACTGATAATATCAATAGTTATTTTTGTTAGATATGATTCCAAGGTTAAATATATGCACCATACAGAGTTTAAGCCCATCTTACTCACAAGACTTTCAAGAAAAATCTGTTTTGTGCAATATGGTACCCTTTGAGAAATTTGCATTTCTATCCCTGTCTACTGATTTTCAATACTTATGGGAAAAGCAGCCTATAAGCAGCACTGTCTGCATCATGTCTTGATATACCCGGACACACATTTATGTGCACCTTTGTGAAAATAGGTGTCCCCATGACTTTGGATGATCCAGTTCAACTTAAGCCATTGCAACACTTATGTCCTGCCAATTTATTGTTCAACAACTCAGTAAACATTATGTAAACCCGTAAACTTGAGAGCTGGATTCCTGAAAACTATCATGACTGCATGAATAGCTCAGGTTTATTTGTCCTGAACCCATAAACTAACACACAAACGCTATTTTATCATCCCTAACAGCATTTCCTGTTGTGTGCACTGGCTTTCAAAATGGCCATGCCCATGTTAGGCTGTGGGATTGAGAGTGCCACTGATAAATTGTTTGATGGGGTGCAAATATAGGTTTTGAATCATTTAAGTTGGTCAAATTCATCATATTTTCCATTAAATGAATCATGGAGAGTATTAGTTTTATCAATTTAGTCGTAACCGCTAGGGCACACTGTAATTATTTTATCAGTGCAATTTCAGTGTTTATCGTGCCATGGCACTCAAATTAAGCGCTACTATTTCGATCCCTGGTACAGAATTAATTTTCTTAACTTTTGATGCCCAGTGGTCATATCATGGCACTGTTCATGATTATCACAATTAAGCCTCAATAAATAGTTATACATTTTGACCAATTGTGATTATGACATGTTCCCATGCAAATCCATACATGAAGTATGTGGGATGTATGTAGGCTGTCTTCCACATTATGCTCTGTACTGTACATCTGCAGTGAGGTCAGGCAAAATTGACGGGTTGAGTAGTGATTGACTGATTTGTTCATCATCTCCGGCAGCTTGGTTTGTGTCACAGCAGCATGTCACATGTGTGTGATGTGTGATGTGTGTGTGCCTCTGAAGGTGTTTAGGACGACATTACTGTGGTTTAGGCGGCATGATCCTCGCAAGACATGTGTTTCATATATGTTGGTTGAGACCTACACAGAACATGTCCTTCATGTGTACCAGAGCCTTCTGACCTAAACTGCCATGTGTTTGATCTCTATAACTGGCATTGTAGAAGCTGGCAATTATCAATAAATATTTGACAATGGAATAAGAATCCATACTAAAATGTCATAACATAATTAAATATCTTGGCTTTATTGATTGGCTTTACTTGCCTACATCCAGAATGACAATTAAGCACAGGGCTCCAGATAATTTTTGAACATCAGGAGTACGTACACCATATTTTTTCAATGTAGGATTACTAGAAAACCTTAGAGTACATTTAGAGTACTGAGTGGAATTTAATGGCGTATCAGTAGTCTTGTGTTTCGTTTCATATATGCACCACAACATTGCTACTCTTGTGTAAACATGGTAGAAAAACAATAAAACAAAACCTTTTCAGATAAATACATCTGAAAATGATTCTAAGACTGTACACATTGCTGTGGTGCGTATCTGCTACATTTTCTAAATTATTTCCTACCGTTTCGTGCACATTTTCTATTTGTACATACGCCGATTCAGCTCTTATCTGGAGCCCTGTAAGCAGATTATACCTGTTAGTTGTATTACAAGCATGCAAGTGACTGTATGTGAAGGAGTGTTATCAAGAATACAAAGTCTCGGTGTGACAGGATGTCTGCCAAGATGTCTGTACATCCTTTGTTCTCTACCTATCGGATGTTATATGACCAGGATCCCCCAGAATCCCAAGTATACAGGGGATCTGTCTGTGCACACCCTATTGTACTGTCAGTTTGGTAGGTTCGCTAAGATATTGCTCTTGTCATTTTAATCACTGTTCACAGCTGTGGAATATCAGCTGTGCTAACTTGTCACAATGAATCAGTATTAAATCAATCACCTGTTGGTCCCCTGCTGTTGCACACTGCTGAAATAAGTGGACAGATTTGCCACCGAGGACACAAGAATGTTGTCAGCCAGGTTCTCTGTGGGGATAGATAGGCCAGACTGTCTGTAGTTCATCTGCTGAAAGCCAAGTGCATTGTTATCATCTGGCTATCAATCATTCAGATATGTTCATCTTTTACATCTCGTCTAACTTACAGTTATGAAACTTGGTGTGAATAATCCAGTCTGTGATAAATCTAAATGGTAATTAGAAACGTTGCCTCTGGTGACTCCTAGATATCTGCATGTATCATGGTCATGTGCTAAGCAGGAAGTATGAGTGATGAAGATTAGGATATTAGACATATTTGGAGATTTACCTGTTATGTTTGCCACCATTACAAGATTGAAGCATCAGTGAATGGATTTGCTTTTAGATCTTACCTATAGAACCTTGTGGTTTTAGATTTATCTTTGTTTACAACTTTTTCCTTGCAAAAGTTTTGGACAGTAGGTGGTAAAATACTAATTAGCAAAATAACATTTGAGAGTCATATTTGTTTTTTATATCTTTATCTGCAGGTTTAAGCTTGTCTCAGTGTCTGTTCTATTGTCACTTCTTACTGTTTAGACTGGTGTTCATATTTCATCTTGTTAAGAACAGGGCAGTTTGTATTTGGTGGAGTCATAACATTATGTTTCAATTTTCATAATGCTTAGTATTTGGGGATGATTTTTGCAAAAGAAACGCATCTCTTTTTAAAGCAGTACTTCATTTTATGATTTCACTGAAATTACAATTGAAGTTTTTGCAGTATGAAAGAGCCTGAATCAACTAGTGCGCTTGTGCAGCCAAGTGTGGTGATTACTGCTGAGAGTCCATCCCCGCTGGAGGAGGCTGTCACTGTGGCAGCCACTACAGTGGACAGCAATGGTGCAGTAGTAGTCAGTGAGAAGGTGAATGACCCCAGTGACCAGAGGGAACCTCAAACACAGAATGGTCAAGATCATCTCCAAACAGATACCATGGTGAATAACATTATGTCCACGGAGTCTGAGAAGGAGCAGCCGGCTAGTCAGACTCCAGATGATGCTCAACAAAAGCAGCTTGCTGACCAACCTTCAGCAGTGACAAGTAATGAGACACTTCGGCGATACAAGCAAAGATGAAACAACGCCCCTGTCGGAAGAAAGTACCACTGTACCACTGTCGCAGCCTGAAGCTAGTGTGGACGTTGGTGAACTGAGTGGTGGCAGCAAGGTTGACATCAGGGACAAGGCAGCCACTGATCACCAACAGGACTTCCAGTCCTACACTGAGTGGAGACAGAAGGTTTTGGAGGAAGAACAAAAGTCAAAACAGGACAACACAAGTGAGTCATTAGAGTGAAAACATGACACATCCCCAATATATCATCTTAGAATGGGAATGTGAGTTTTAAGTTTGTGAATTTAAAGATGATGAAATAATCTGCTTTCATATTTTTCTTCTTATCAGGATAAGGTTATGTATAGGATCTTCAGGTATATATATATGTTTCCTTATCCTGATTAATACTATTTGCTTCTTTCTCCCTTAGCCCGAGATATAGTGGGAACATTCTGTGTTGTGTTCCCTAAGAACAAGAACAACACAACAGTCATTCAAATGCACCCCTCCATTGCACATGTGCCCCTCCACTGCACATGCACCCCTCCACTGCACATGTGCCCCTCTTCACAGTGATTCATCACTCTTTACTTTCCTACAAGAGGATAGTAGGAAAAAATGTTTTAGTGTTTTAATCCCAAGCCATTTAATTCTATTAAAAATGTTAAGTTTTTTTTAAGTCCTGTTTTGGATATATCTTAAGACCTGATATTTAACATATCTGTTTTTCAATTTGGCATTTAATTAAGTACTATTGTAGATGTAAACAGAGAGTATCAGACCTGGGATCTCACCCTACGGCTCCACATGTTTCTGTGCCACGTTGGGATTAACGAACTTGATGACAAATTGCAGCGCAGAGGAAAATATGCGCACCTAAATTTAAAGTATATCTTAAGATATTGTGCTTGACTTAGAATGATCCATAAGATAAGAATTGGCCGTAGCCTTAAATGAGCTGTCTCACTAAAGTTCTCCATTACAAAGTATAAAACACTGGGCATGGATTCTCAGTCATTGGTTATGGGTCAGTAACCTGACCTCTACGTGTCTACATGATCTGGGTGAGATTGTCTCCTGTTGCACTGGAACCAAAGAACCAAACTGATGAATACCAGCAATATAATCTTCAGTGAACTATCGGAGATGATGTTTGGCAAAGATAGTATTGGATTTCCAGAAACAGCCTTCCATGATTGATTCGTGGGAGCAGTTATCTTGTAATGCTAGCGTGGATGCTATGGCTGATTGAACGCTGTAGAATCCAGCCTCGCAGGCTTTGAGTATCACTGACCTTGTCCAAGTGGATATAGTTGTTCTACAAACTTCTGTAGAAGTGTTGAGTGAGAGAGGTGGGAATAACCTCTTAACCTTCTTTGCAGACATATGTGAAGGGATAGAATCTTCCAGTAGTTCGAAACCAGACCTTCAGCATTGAAAATGAGAACCTCAGGCACCTTGACCGTTGCCAGATTCTTCACCTGATCTATCCTGTTGTTTGCGATTTTTTAACGACATTTTCCCTTTAAACGATGAAGATCTCTTTGTCCTTAGCTTTCTGAATACAAGAAAAGTGACTTCTAAACTGGGTTCTCTGCATCGACTGCCCATACATGGAATTCATCATTAGGATCAATGTTTGATCCTTAAAGTCTCCATTTGCATGACAGTTACAACCATCAATGATAATGGATCTAACAGTGGCTTTGTGTAGAGGTCCAACCACTGAGAATTAGAAATTATATTGCTGTTGTATATCTGTAGGTCCTGTTGGCATAAGACCGATGTGATCTGATACAAATCTTGATTAATCTTCTGCACAACCATTGCTGAAAGAAACATTTTTGGGCAGTCCCATTGAGGATTCTCTAAATCTTTTAGCATGGCCTCGTTGATAGCGTGATACATGGCCAACCTGAAGAACAACCTTCTGGAAGTGGTGTCTTCTATCTTCAATTCTAAAAGACTCTAAAATCGCTCCTGAGTGAATATTCTCGTCTGTCCTTGGTGCTTTTTAACAGCCTCCATGTTGTGTAATGGTAAACGTCTTGGGTTGAAAGAAGGTCTAGGCAACCCTTGAGCCTTTGCGGTCTTGGCAAAGGACACCTTAAGATTCTTGGCTATTGGAGAAATCTGCTTCATTCGCCTTTGATACCATGCATATCCGCAGGAGATGAATCCCTGGACGACGATACTTGCAAACCATCTGCAGTCCAAGCAGTAGTTCGGGGTCTTTATGATTGGATAAATTATCCTCATTTTTAGAAGAATTCCTATCTTCATCTTGTGTTAAACACGACCTGTTTGAAATCTGTGTCATGAAACCATGGTTGGATGGGTCGTCAAACAATGATGAAACTGGTGTGTACTGCATAGATAGTTTATCAAGAACTTGCTCTTCTTATTGAATAACCAACAGTATTTGTCTAGTGATGTTCATTATTATATATGTAGCTACACACTGCTGCACAATGGTCTGAGGCTGTGGGAAGGCCTGAGGTTACATGTAAATCTTAAGCTGCGTGAAGGTCTAGGGCTGTGTGTATACTCTCTGATGTATGGGTGATGTCTTGAGAAAGCTAGATTTTGTATGAAGGATGAGTGGCGTTCTGTTGCTTGCGGCTGTTATGAAACCTTCGGAGCCTGCATGGGGAACACAACACAGAACGTTTCCACAGTATCTTGGTTTAAGGAGAGAGAAGCAAATAGTGTGTCAGGGTATTTATAAAATATTGTTTTTACCCAAAAAAAACTACAAACAATATATGTTTGTGTGTCTGTATATATATTTACTCTGTGTGTGTGTACATACAGATTCAATTTTAGGACGCTGTAGGTGGACCCAGTGAAAACAATTTTAGTATTGATGTCAGTATATTCTTTTTAGTTCATATCCAGGTGAGATACAGTCTTGTAGCATTCTTTCTTCCTCTGGATGTCAAATGTTAAAAGTGTGAATGTGTTGTTGCCAGTTCCTGTGGTGCCGATGCCCGTACCTTTAAAATCCAAGCAACGTATCAACTTTTCCTCCAAGAACTGTGGGGCTAAGGTATTGGCATCTAATCAGGAGGCTGAAAATGTGCAGGGAGTCCTCACTGGGAACAAAGATGACTACATGCTCAATCCATGCAGTGCTCAGAAAAAATGGTAATAATAATTTTGATACATCTGTATATCACATGCAGCATAAACAGGTGATACATGACATATGAACCTAAAACAATTCGGCAAACATGAGTTACTTAATAAAGTGCAGTGTTAGATATTGTCAAGTATTCTTAGGCAGGTACTTTACTGCCATGTAGCAGATTGTGAGGCAGGTACTTTACTGCCATGTAGCAGATTGTGAGGCAGGTACTTTACTGCCATGTAGCAGATTGTGAGGCAGGTACTTTACTGCCATGTAGCAGATTGTGAGGCAGGTACTTTACTGCCATGTAGCAGATTGTGAGGCAGGTACTTTACTGCCATGTAGCAGATTGTGAGGCAGGTACTTTACTGCCATGTAGCAGCTGTCAATGTATCAGTGTATCCAGCGACTATATCAGTAATCTGGTCCACGTATGACTGTGTAGAACGTGAAACCAAACACTGCTGTTGCTGTATGATAGCCTCGAATCACAATGTAACATGTTCCAGGATGTGGTTATAGCATCACTCATGTCTTACCTCATGTGCCTGCATTTTATATAATGTGAATATCTACAACACTGTGGTACATCTTGACTGACTGATATGAACTGACAGTAGTTTTGATTGTTAGGAACGAAATGATAGTGTGCACTTTTCTTTCATTAATACATGTACTTGTTCTGCTTGTTATCTGATTTCTACCTTCCATGATAGCAGGATTAAAGCAGAGAGGTGAACTTGGTGACAGGTGACCATATTCAATGTCTTTAGGAGGGCATGGTACAATGTCTGTAGGGGGGGCATGGTACAATGTGTGTAGGGGCTATGGTACAATGTGTGTAGGGGGCATGGTACAGTGTGTGTTATGGGACATGGTGGATGTGATATGTTGTACAATGTGTGTAGGGGGACATGGTACAGTGTGTGTTATGGGACATGGTGGATGTGATATGTTGTACAATGTGTGTAGGGGGACATGGTACAGTGTGTGTTATGGGACATGGTGGATGTGATATGTTGTACAATGTGTGTAGGGGGACATGGTACAGTGTGTGTTATGGGACATGGTGGATGTGATATGTTGTACAATGTGTGTAGGGGGACATGGTACAGTGTGTGTAGGGAGTGGTTGTACAATGGATGTGTAGGGGGACATGGTGTATTGTGTGGATGTGATATGTTGTACAATATGGCTTAGAAGCATTGTACGTTACCTTTGGGGCAGTGGTGCATTGTGTTTTTGAGGAAATGGTACATTGTGAGGTGTGCAACATTATACATTTTGTCTTAGGTGGCCTTGTACATTCTTTTATTCTTTTTCTTAATACAAACTAGTGTGTGATCCTGTTATATGTATGTAGATTTACATACTATCAGGATTTATTGTTTACACCGGAATTGCACTGCTTACTGGGGATTGTTTCAGGTTTGCCATAGAACTGTGTGAACCCATTCAAGTTAAAACAGTGGAAATTGCAAGCTTAGAGCTGTTTTCTTCTCAGCCGAAGACATTTCGAGTGTCCTTGAGTGACAGGTAAGTGTGGATATATCCTATGTCTTACATCAGTTCATTCCAAATACTGTCAACCAGTTCATTAAGATGACTCACACCAACTGAGCAGAACTAAATTGTGGAAGAGTGTTTCAAGGGCAGTTCAAAGAGATTCTGTGAATGCTGTTTGCAGGTTCCCAGCCAAAGATTGGCGGGAGTTGGGGGAGTATGAAGCGACACAGGAGAAGACAGCACAGGCCTTTCAGGTGGACGACCAGCAGTTTGTCAAGTTTGTCAAGGTGGAGCTGCTCAGTCACTACAACAATGAACACTTCTGCCCTGTTACCTTGTTCAGGTGAGTCACCCACATCTCTAGATAAATTGTATCACTGCATGATGGCCTGCTCATGCACAAATAGAACAATTTGTCTTGCAGTTTGAGACAAATTGAATGTTTCTGTAAAATATAAGTGAAATGTAATGTTTATGAATACTTGTATTGATTTTGTTGATCCCAATCAGTTGTGCGATATACATTGTGTGACATGTTAAAAGAACACTGCATTTACATGGCAAGTGAGCCTGGCGGAAAGATGGTCAATATATGGTAAGGGAATTTCTCTTTTCCAGAAATAACCTGTCATTGTCCAACTCACATTTTTAAAATGATTTGTACAGCATTGTTTTGAAACTCCCTCAGTTTATTTTTTAGGTTCAATCAAATGTGGGCCATTTGAATTATTGTTTGTGTGTACTCTCTTGTCAGAAGGGCATTGATACTTTGTAGACAAATATACAATCCTATTTCTGCTGGTCACTGAACAGTAATGAGTCACTGGTATGAGTGGCCTGCCTATGTCTCAGGGTAAGAGACACAATATCAGGTTACTGACATGCTATGTGCTAGGATCACAGGGCAGAGAGAGGTCATCATTAGGCTCTATGTTTTACAGAGTTCTGTATTGGTGTGCCAGGCTGAAACTGAGCACATACATGCTGTAGAACTTGGCAAATAAGGAAATATGGGATGTTTGTCCATGAATAATGTCATTATGAAAATATGAAAAATACAGATGAAGCAATACTTACAATCATAGTTCGTTTTCTCAGTGTAAACTTGTTCTTAACGATAACATCAAGAAGCAATGCCTATTCCCTTGTAGCGATTTCTGATTCCCCTGTACTTCCACCTACTTGAGATGTAGGTAGCAGGCTTTGAAGCCAGCATTCATCTTCAAAGAATCTTCTTTCAGAGTGTTTGGCGTACCGATGGCAGATGATGATGATGACAACCCCGAGAGCATAGAATCAACCAATTCAGAGGAGGAAACTGGTATGTATGGCAAGCAGTGCTTCCTTCATCCCAGGGTTTAACTTAGCTCAAATATGTCGGTCCAGTAAGCACAAATGTATAGAATGGACTCAGGAAATTGAATGTGTGGCATCCCAAGGGTTGACAATCATTTTCTGGACAAACATTATCAAGAATAATTATTATATAGATCACTACATTATTTCATAACACCCTCGTATTTCCTGCAAAGAGCTGAAAATTAGGGGTGCAACGATTCAATTTGATTCATCAAAAATTGAATCTGACATCTTACTTTCGATTTTCGATAACCATTATCACTATTTCCATTCGATATTTGAATATCTATTACAGTTGTGTTACACACAACGAGATGCCATTTTTATTAATCCAACTCAAGCAGTTTCGAGCGCTGGAGTCAGGCGAAACGCTAATTATCCAATGAGAATTGTCGTTAGTAGACATTGCCAAGTTGACGATGGATTTTATGCAAAAAAGCTTACTCACTTGAACTCTGAGAGTTAAATGAAATCTGATGTTTTTACTTGTATGAACAAATCGAATCGAATCAAAAATGATCGAATCGAGGTTCCTATCTTGAAAATCGATCGAATCCAGGTCTGGGTGAATCGTTGCAGCCCTACTGAAATTTTATTCACAGTTGTCCTATGGACCCTTAGTTTTCTAATTCAAGGTAAAATATGCCTCTGCTGTATGTTGGCATTCCCTGTCTCTTTCTAGTGCACATTGGAAATTAATATGTGACTGATTGTTGACATGATCTTTTTCATTATCTCACAATGTCAGTTATATGTACATTGCATGTTTCATCCATATTTCATTATTTGGATCAACTGAATATCCCCATGAAACAGAAAAGAACAGAACATTGTTGGAATTGTAACGATGTTCCTTTGTTTCCTAAGACCGCCTCCGTGGTGTAGTGGTTAGAGCGTCCGCCCGGGAGAGAGGAAGGTCGCGGGTTCGATCCCTGACCACGTCATACCAAAAGACGTTAAAATATGGTACTTGTTGGTCCCTGCCTGGCGCTCGGCATTAATGGGTACAACAAGGACTGGTTGGCTCGGAGTCAGTATAATGTGTCTGAGTGGGGTATTCATGCTTCACTGCGGCGTGGTATCTCAGTGGGCTAGCACAAAAAAACCAGCTTAAGTCTGGGCTAGTAAAAGCAGCCGCACATACACATGCACACACATGCACGTCATCATATGAGCGAAATATTCTCAAGCACAATTTCACCTCACCTTTGTTTCCTTTACAAAGATTGATAATAACTACAGAGAATCACCTTGATCACCTTCTGAATAGTATTGGGTCAGTCACTACAAAGTTTTCTTTAAGGTTTACAACGTAAAACTTTTGGTGCATCTATTTCATACTTCCTTCTGGGTATATACCTTATCTAGGATTGGATGAAAGTCAGGGGGTGGATCAGTATTCATTGGTTAAATACCACATCAAAAAAGAATCTGAAATAATTTAATGCTCAGAACCAAGATATTTCTGACATAAAATCTAGCACATTGAACAACAATTTAGGGCTCCAGAAGTATGTTACATGTTGCCTTGGGGTTATTACAGTTCTCCCATATAGCACCCTACCACTTGTCCTTGTCATCTGCAATAACGATCCAGGTGAGCCAGCTTTTTGACTGTTTCCAACAATTTGTGGCTTACGTTGTGAAGAGCTTGCCCTTTGCTGTTGCAGTGATCCTTCAGGATGGAGATGAAGATGAGGCCAAGGACAACTCAAGGAACCTGTTTATGAGTGCAAAGGGTAGGTTGTCAGATGCATGATGTACATGTTGCAATATCTCTAGGAGCAGCTCATTAATCAACAGCACCTGGATTCTGATATGTGATATTTTGAAATCGTAGAATGAAAATGACAAGTGCTTAAAATCGTTTTGAAAGAGAAACTTGGTGATGCATTTAAAAACGAATCACTTCGAGATTGAAATATTAACAGCAATTTAAATGAAAGCAACAGCAATTTTGAATATTTTGAATTCAAAGGGAATTTGGATGTGTATAATGATATATTACATTAGGGACCATTCATAATTTATGGCTGTGATGATGATTTAAGGAGGGGTCACCCATTTTGTTCTGGGAGGAGGGGGGGGGAGTCATCAATTTTGTACACATGTACTGGGGTGTTAGCAATTTTGTACATAAAAATATTAAAAATTATGGGAAGAGGGAGGGGGGTCATTGATTTTGTACATGATATGCAGGGGGGTGTCACTTAATTTTGTACGTAAATTGTAGGGGGGTAATTCACATTGTACATGCTTCTGCATAAAATCATCATTCCCCCCCTTGCCATAAATTATGAAAGATTCCTTATATTATATACAAAACTCCATCAAGATTGTAGAATAGTTTGATGCAAAACATTAACCAGACAGCCATCTTTCAGCTTCTTCAAGACATTTTCATATTTTTTTAAACTTATCCTATCTCACGACTTGCACCTCTCTCTCTCGCTTTGACTTTTAGTGGAACGACTGTAAACTTTTTTCCATATGCCTCCTTGTCCATTCGCCCGTGCACTCCATGCTGCTCTCCTTAATTAGCTTCCTAGTTCCTAATGAAGCTTGCAGCATGCTCCACTAATTGCCCACGTGACTACCATAAATGATCATTCTCTTTCTTGTCGCACGACTGTGTGGACATGCTGTATATTAGGGACATTATTTCACCCTAACATCATGGGGAAAACAGATAATCAGTCAAGGAAAAGGAAAGTTTGTGCTCAATGCAAGACGAATTATTCTTCCCTCGACCCTCACTCTTCTTGCAGTGACTGTATTGGTCAATGTAACTGAAACAAACGATGTAGCAAGTGTAATTCACTAAAAGATGAGGATTTTAAGGCCTACCTTTGTGTTTGCTGCCAGAGAATCGCCGATAGGGACAGGAAATCAACAGAATCTGATCCCACTCCCGCCAAGCGTATCAAGTTACATCGCCAGAAAATCGTACCTTCACGTAAGAGAGCGTCATTTGTGGTTCAAGAGGATTTTATGAACGCTTCATCAGATTCTAACTTATCTGAGGACGTTCGGCACCTTTTACGTGCGCATCAATCACCTCCTTCCATAGCGTCAGATCACTCGCGGGTGGTTGTGATCGATAATCCATCGTTGCCTGTCCCATCTACACTACCAGGGGACCTTAGATCAACACTATCATCTTCCAGATCATCGGTACATATCCACATCACCTGATCAATCCAGATCACCTAACCGATCCAGATCACAAAACCGATCCAGATCACAACTTCGAATGAAATCACTGGACAGATCCAGATCACCTAGCCGATCCACATCACCGAATCGATCCAGATCACAAGATCGAAGTAGATCACCGGACTGATCCAGATCACCTAACCAATCCAGATCACCGAATGGATCCAGATCACATCTTCGAATCAGATCAACGGACCGATCCAGATCACCAAATGGATCCAGATCACAACTTCGAATCAGATCAAAGGACCGATCCAGATCGCCGAATGGATCCAGATCACAACTTCGAATCAGATCACCGGACCGATCTAGATCACCTAACCGATCCAGATCACAACACCGATGTAGATCGCCGGAACGATCCAGATTGCAACTGCAAACCAGATCACCTTATAGATCCACATCACGATCACAGTTTCCAGTTAGTGCATTGAATCGATCCAGATCACTTTACAAATCCAGATCGTCTTACCGACCCAGGTCACCTATGCGATCTAGATCACCTTACAGAGCCATTGACCAATCGGGATCACAGTACAGATCCACATCTCATGGCTGATCCTATTCAGATGGTCGAAACAGAGCTCCAGTCAGAACCAGATCACCAACTACAACTGCAGCGACCCGGACTAGTTCTTCATATCATACCGGATCACCTAGCCATACTAGGGAATCCAGATCACCGGCTTACCAACCTACTTCGGTACTTACCACGTCGAGATCTCGATACAGTTCCTCTGACCGACGTTCGGGTGATCATTGTTCTGATACCACTAATAGGCCTACTGTCTCTTACGTTGTTCCACCTACACATTCTGATAATCCTTCGACTCACTCTAGGATCATCGCTAAGTCATGAGAACCTGATCACAATCCCACTCCTACAGCGACTCCGGATCTAAAAATGATGATCAGGGCCATAACCTCAGCCTGGAACCAAATACAGCCTTCTACTCCAGCCCATCCAGCTTCGGTAGCACCTGGCTCTTCATCTGGTCCACCTCCTGAGATTGATCCAGTTCAAATAGCCATGCCTGCATCTCCCACTCACTCTGAGTTATCTATCCCTGGGGGTAGCTTTGCAGCAGTTGAGACAGGTCAGGTACTCGTTCAGATTGTTTAGAAGCTCCAACTTCCACTGAGTACTTCAGCAGATGACCTGGATCACTCTTATACTCTTATGAACCTGTATTGGCCTTGTATTCTGAAATTATCCAGTACACTAAATGATGGTTTCAAGAGCCTGAAACGAATTAAGGACGGATTCTGCTCCCAGATATAATCCTTCTACCTCTCATGTCCACGGCCTAACAAAAATCTCCATGGCTTCAACAGTTGATGAGGACATTGGAACCCTGTGTGGCAAACAAGCTGCTTCGCCCTACGTTATTGAGGACCGACGGTAGGCTCACTTGGATTCAGCCGTGAGAAAGACGTTGCCATCAATTAGTTGCGTGATTGCGGCAGTCAACGCTGTCAACTCTGCTCTGGAGCATACTTACACTGATCAAGACGCTTACATCTGAGGATGCATGACTTTAGCTCTGGACCAGTTCCAAATTATCCTGGATCAGTTGTCTCATTTTTTTGGTTACACTCTTGCTGCTCGCCAATGTGGACCCCTTAACATCTCTTCATGGGAGGAGCGAACTGTTTCGCCAGCCATGGCTTACTGACTCCCTCTTCAATGGCAGCATCAAAGAAGTATCTACTAAATTTGATAAAGAAACCCACTTTCAAGTCTCGATTGAACTGTTGAAGATACAGAAGTCACAGCTCCAGGACTCATTAAAACAGCGTTGAACTGCACAGTTCACCCCTACCAATCCGGATCCGTACGTCAAAAACCTGCTACTTCACGGTTACCAGCTACCCGTTATTGGCAGTCCACCTCTGACGTCACATCCGGCTCATCGCTCATATCCTGTGGACCAGCTTCAGACTCTGCAATCCACAATAGGTACGCTATTAGACAAACTCGTGATAGAGCTCTTAGGTCCATCGCCCCTCACTCCAGGATTCTACTCCCCCCATCTTTTGGTTCCAAAGAAAAATTCCAACAAACTCCTGCTCATCTTCAATATGAAGTTGTTCAATGCCCGATTCCTGCTTCCACCGCCTTACTTCAGGATGGTGTCGATCAACCTTTTACGCACCATCCTGAAGAAGAGAGAAGATTCATTGCAGGCTCAACAGGATGCATTCCTCCAGCACTGTCTCATCGTGAAATTGGAACACGAACTTTGCATTCCTCCAGCACTGTCTCAGGCGAGAACTTTACGGCAGTGGCAGGAGCTACTGGGCCTTCTGACATCAGCTCAAGCCTTAACGTACAGAGGCCAGCTCCAATTTCGGCTGGTACAGCGATTTCTACGCCCGTATTTTCAGACCCGTTATCACAGCCTCAAATAGATCTGTTCGCCACAAGGTTTCAACAACCAACTTCCAAAGTTCGTATCACCAATCCCTGACCCCATAGCTTGGGACATCGACGCGCTGGCAATATCATGGGAGGGTCTCAATGCCTACGCGTTCCCCCCTCCAGCTCTGTACCAAAAGTAATACAGAAATTATTGGTCACCAGCAACATACTACTGCTTTTGGTCGCACCCTTCTGGCCAGCGAGAAGTTGGTTCGTCAACCTAAGAAGCCTGGCAGAACCAAACCCAGCACCGCTCCCCAACTGGGATGACCTACTTCTTCAACCTCACTCGGAACTGCGCCACAGGTCACCTCAGACCCTCAATCGACACGTTTGGCGCATCTTCAGAGATCTCTCATAGCTAAGGGCTACTCTCGCCGAGTGGCCACAGCTATCACTTCAGCGCATCGTACTTCAACCTGTTCCTTGTACGACAACAAGTGGAAGAAGTTTGAAGACTATTGCTAGGTTGGGGGAATTGCATCTCCCACTTCCACCTCTGCTCAGGTCATTGCTGAGTTTCTCCAGCATCTCCGCACTACTAAAAAACTCAAGGGTACTATGTTAGCTACCTACTTAGCCGCCATCAACTCGAGTTTGGCTACCACCACAGGCACGAAGATTTCCACTGTTCCCGAGTTGCAGAGTCTACTACGCTCCTATAGACTCTCTGACCAGTCTAGGAAGTTCAGACCTCCGGCCTGGGATCTGTCCATCGTCCTTCATCATATGATTTCTACAGACTATGAACCTTTAGAAGACAAGGACTTCGAACAAGTGACATTCAAGACATTCTTCCTGGTAGCTTTGGCTACCACTGCTGGTATATCTGAACTGCACGCGCTTGATGTCAATCAGGTGCGGTTCGAGCGGAAGAAGCATGGCAAGGCTTTCCTGGGTCTCCGCTGGGACTTCATTGCAAAAAACCGGGCAACCAGACCGGATGTTTACCATGCTCTCTCTCCCTTCCCCCCTTTAATTACGGGGGTACCTTGTAAATCGTGGCAAGGCAAGGCCTACTTGCCAAGTTGCTTCCCTTGTCTTGTACAAGGTTGCGGCCGAACACCACATCGCTCGGGAGCACGCATCTCCCATGGAGTCGTTGTGCTTAGTAAGCCAAGGGGTTCCGGAGAACCCACTACAAGCATAGGAGTTGAGTGCATGCATAACAGGCCTCCCTTGTACATCGCTATCTACGATTGTCATCAGTCGACACAGCTCCAAGACCAGCTGCTCGACTGTCCAGACAGAAGGGTAATCTGCGGCCAGCTGTCCAACCGTGGGACAAGTGCAAGTCATGAGATAGTATGAGTTTAAAAATTTGAAACTTTTAATATAAATTGTATATTTATATACTTATCCTATCTCACGTGATGGATGCCCGCCCACCCTCACCACTACTCAGATTACAACGTTGGCTCCAAGATGAGAATGATCATTCATGGTAGTCACGTAGGCAATTAGTGGAGCATGCTGCAAGCTTTATTAGGAACTAGGAAGCTAACTAAAGAGAGCAGCATGGAGTGCACGGGCGAATGGACAAGGAGGCATATGGAAAAAAGTTTACAGTCATTCCACTAAAAGTCAAAGCGAGAGAGAGAGGTGCAAGTCGTGAGATAGGATAAGTATATAAATATACAATTTATATTAAAATTTTCAATTGTAACTTTCTGCATTATACTGCCAAATACCTGACTGTCAGTTGGTGAAACTAGATACTTATTCTTCAGACACAGTTATGAACTTGGTAAAGAAGGTATTGAATGTGGATGAGGCTGAGCAGAGCACAACCGGAAAACCCCCAAGTAAGACACTTGTCTACTGTCACTAAATTCACAATGCAGCTGCCAAATTTCATCAATATATTGCCAGGGTCTGATTGTCTCATATTGGTGTCCGTATTTGTCATCATGGAGTCTCTGAATAGCTCCTTTGAAGAAACTAGTCACTGAAAGTGAAGGTGAATATTGACATCTTGTAGTGCTTTTTAAAGGGGCACTGATCTAGAGTGATTCATCAGGACTGGTTGATGCTGTTGTTATTTTCTCGTAGGTACTGAGATGATATCCCATAAGTGTATACTGGTTCCTGCTCTCTGCTGTGCCACCTGTAAGGATTGTATATGGGCATATCCTCACATTGATCAAACAAAGATGAGATACACCTTCGTCTCGGAATTAATTGGGAAATATATCCGTCTAGTTTAATATGATAACAATTCCAAATAATGGGAAGTTAAATTTGATCGGTTTGGCAATATTTGTAACTTCACCTCAGTTTTGCTCATTGTATAAAATTGAAAAACATACTGTAATAAAGGAAATATATTTGCCTTTACCTTTCAGAAAGTAAATTGCTATAATACTGGCAGGATATGTTGCACTACACTGGTTTCAGATTAATGATGGCGTTTAGGTTCAGAATTAATCTCTTCTGAACCTAGAAGTGACAATACCAGTCTGAAGTGCATGTAACTTTCATATTCAGTTAGTTACAAGCATAAGATGGGATGGTTTAGACATTTTAGTTGTATGTCAGTATATTGTCATCTTATGAGTAATCAGGAATAGCTCATTGCTAACCCGTGTCTCTCATTATCGAATCGGTTTTGTTAAGTTCAGTCCAGGAACACAAAAGAAAACAGATTGAAACTGTGGGAATGACATTTCACTCTTGATGTTGTAAACATGTGCCCATTTTCATGTTTGTTGTTTTGTGCCTTAAAACATAGTTGAATATTTCTCCTATTGCAGGTGAGAAAGATGTTGGATTGAACTACTCTCATGATGGCCTCCTGCTACCCTGCGTGCCAGAAGAAGACGGCAAGTAAGTACAAAGCATGCTTCGTATGACCCAGTACAATAAGACAACGTGTGCAATAATACAATCCTCATTCTATCATGACATTTCAGAATCCTGCAATTCTGATCAGCTGGCAAGTAGCATCAAATTCATGTCACACTATTCTTGTTGATGACAGCATTGCGGAAAGAAAATGTCATCAGACACTGGTGTGTCGAAATATAAGCGAGCTTCAAAATTACTAGAAGTTATTCTAGATGTAACACAACTTCAGTAACAGTAGATTTTAGGCAGAATATCAACATACAAAAAAGTAGTCAAACTTCAGTATCATTATGAGAGTTTGTCATTTTGCAGCTCTCCCTGAAAACTTGGATGTCATGTAGAATTTAGACTTTCAAATATGTTATAATCTACTGTGTTATATTCACATTTAGAAGAATTATTTATTCTAACTGACTTCATTGAAAGGTACGGAAGCGTAGTAGGGCCATGGTGAAAAACATTTTTGTGTCACTATCTCCTAACGTAGGAGGTATTAAGTCCTACGTAGGACATAGTATCTCCTACGTAGTACTTAATATATCCTTGTTAAGGTTCGGATTATGAAGTATGGTTATTAAGTTGAGAAATGTTTGGCTATGCAGGACGTTAGATAGTCGAAATGTGAGTCAGTGAATATTCATGACACTAACGCAGTGTTACTATACAGTGTTATTGTGTGTGTATTACGTTAGGGTGACGTGGACCCTGTTCTAATTGCAGTTATGGAGGTTTGGGTATGGTTATGTTTAATCTATTCACACACACACACACACACACACACACACACACAAACAGAGGTGTGGGTGGGATGGTTGGGGTGAGGTTCTTATATGGAACTCGGGTTATAATACGACCTCTGCAAGTTGTTGCTTGTCTTCAGATGGGGCTAGGTTGGATCAGATGCAACGCTCATTTGCGGCTCGTTTTTTTCGTAATTGTTTACAGGTTGACTTGACTTGGGTTGAAAAGTGTTGAGTGCGACGTAAAACAATACTAAATTCAAAAAGGCCAAGAATTGTCATTATAGTTATTTGTATAAATATAAGGGTATACGTACGCATAGATTGCCACCGATAGTCTAAGACACGTCAGTACACGCAGATTATGACTCATGTGCAACGACCTCTGAAATATCCAACGCATAATAGTAAAGTGTAACAAAGTGCAACATATAACAGTGAACTAACTGCAATGCGTAATAGTAGAGCAAACTGAACGCAAGGCAGTAAAGTATAACAGTCGGTCCAACACAGTAATGTGCAACAAGTAGTTGAACACATGACTCTAATAGTGAAGGAAACAGTAGACTCGAATAGTAAATGAAACACATGATAGTAGTGAGTGAGTGAGTTTAGTTTTACGCCGGACTCAGCAATATTCCAGCTATATGGCGGCGGTCTGTAAATAATCGAGTCTGGACCAGACAATCCAGTGATCAACAGCATGAGCATCGATCTGCGCAATTGGGGACTGATGACGTGTCAACCAAGTCAGCAAGCCTGACCACCCGATCCCGTTACATGATAGTAGACTCTAAAAGTAAATGAAACACATAACTGTAGACTCTAACTGTGAATGAAACGAATGACTGTAGACTCTTAACAGTGACTGAAACAGTGAAACAGGTGATTGTGTGCGTGTCTGGGGATTTAAGTCGACCATTTCAGATTAATGTATATAAATGTATATCGATCATCTCCTACAGGAGATACTAATTCCTACATAGGAGATATTAAGTCCTACGTAGGAGATACTAAGTCCTATGTAGGAGATAGTATGTCCTACGTAGGAGATACTAAGTCCTATGTAGGAGATACTAAGACCTACGTAGGAGATGCTAAGTCCTATGTAGGAGATACGAATTCCTACGTAGGAGATAGTATGTCCTACGTAGGAGATAGTATGTCCTACGTAGGAGATACTAAGTCCTATGTAGGAGATACTAAGACCTACGTAGGAGATGCAAAGTCCTATGTAGGAGATACTAATTCCTACGTAGGAGATACTATGTCCTACGTAGGAGATACTAAGTTCTTTGTACGAGATACTATGTCCTACGCAGGAGATAGTAAGACCAAAAAATGTTCACCGTAGCCCTACTACGCTTCCGTAGAAAGGGATGGAAAGCATTGACAGAAAGAATATTGTACTGTAGTGTAGTGAACTAACCAGGGTTCATCCTAATGTCACTTGTCCTCCAGAGAGTTGAGCTGTAGGATTAACCAGGGTTCATCCTAATGTCACTTGTCCTCCAGAGAGTTGAGCTGTAGGATTAACCAGGGTTCACCCTAATGTCACTTGTCCTCCAGAGAGTTGAACTGTAGGACTAACCAGGGTTCATCCTAATGTCACTTGTCCTCCAGAGAGTTGAACTGTAGGACTAACCATGGTTCACCCTAATGTCACATGTCCTCCAGAGAGTTCAGCTGTAGGACTAACCAGGGTTCACCCTAATGTCACTTGTCCTCCAGAGAGTTGAGCTGTAGGATTAACCAGGATTCACCCTAATGTCACATGTCCTCCAGAGAGTTGAGCTGTAGGACTAACCCGGGTTCACCCTAATGTCACTTGTCCTCCAAAGAGTTCAGCTGTATGACTAACCATGGTTCATCCTAATGTCACTTGTCCTCCAGAGAGTTGATCTGTGGGACTAACCAGGGTTCACCCTAATGTCACTTGTCCTCCAGAGAGTTGAGCTGTAGGACTAACCAGGGTTCATCCTAATGTCACTTGTCCTCCAGAGAGTTGTGGGAGCTGTAGGATTAACCAGGGTTCATCCTAATGTCACTTGTCCTCCAGAGAGTTGAGCTGTAGGACTAACCAGGGTTCACCCTAATGTCACTTGTCCTCCAGAGAGTTGAGCTGTAGGACTAACCAGGGTTCACCCTAATGTCACTTGTCCTCCAGAGAGTTGAGCTGTAGGACTAACCAGGGTTCATCCTAATGTCACTTGTCCTCCAGAGAGTTGAACTGTAGGACTAGCCAGGGTTCAACCTGATGTCACTTGTCCTCCAGAGAGTTCAGCTGTAGGACTAACTATTGTGGTGACTGGCACGGTCAGATGTGTCATCTATACACACCTGAATGTTTGGTGACTGTAAAGTCATATCTTCTAAAGGGCATCGTATATTGATCACTTTGTTCAGTTGTATATATTGTTAGTGCCCTGGAGGATTGCATTTGAGACTGATAGACTTTGGTATATTTCAGAGTTAGTGAGGTGAAGTTGAAGAGTGATGCAGATGTTCCCACAGTGGCAGTCCCTCAACCCAGCATCCAGCCAGGACCAGCAGGTGGGTGCTGCTTACAATAGGCATGGACCAGCTAAAGTGTTGGAGACATGTCTTGGATGAGTGTTTTCAATGTGCTGTAGCTGCTGAAGGCGACATCTATGCCAGCAGTCTTCAGGCAACCTGGTGGTTGATGGTTCCTTCTTATTGGATGGTTGATGGTTCCTTCTAATTGGATGGTTGATGGTCCCTTCTTATTGGATGGTTGATGGTTCCTTCTTACTGGATGGTTGATGGTTCCTTCTTATTGAATGGTTGATGGTTCCTTCATATTGGATGGTTCATAGTTCCTTCTTATTGGATGATTGATAGTTCCTTCATATTGGATTGTTAATGGTTCCTTCGTATTGGATGGTTAATGGTTCCTTCTTATTGGATGGTTGAGAGCTCCTTCATATTGGATGGTTGATGGTTCCCTCATATTGGATGGTTGATGGTTCCTTCATATTGGATTGTTGAGGGTTCCTTCATATTGGATAGTTGAGGATTCCTTCATATTGGATGGTTGATGGTTCCTTCATGTTGGATGGTTGACAGTTCCTTTATGTTGGATGGTTGACGGCTCCTTTATGTTGGATGGTTGAGGGTTCCTTTATGTTGGATGGTTGAGGGTTCCTTCATATTGGATGGTTGACGGTTCCTTCATGTTGGATAGTTGAGGGTTCCTTCATGGAGGATGGTTGATGGTTCCTTCCTATTGGATGGTTGATGTTTCCTTCATATTGGATGGTTGAGGGTTCCTTCATATTGATTGGTTGATGGTTCCTTCATATTGGATGGTTGACGGTTCCTTCATATTGGATGGTTAATAGTTCCTTCTTATTGGATGGTTGAGGGTTCCTTCATATTGGATGGTTGAGGGTTCCTTCTTCTTGGATGGTTGAGGGTTCCTTCCTATTGGATGGTAGAGGGTTCCTTCATATTGGATGGTTGAGGGTTCCTTCCTTTTGGATGGTTGGGGGTTCCTTCATATTGGATGGCTGATGTTTCCTTCTTATTGGATGGTTGAGGGTTCCTTCATATTGGATGACTGATGTTTCCTTCTTATTGGATGGTTGAGAGTTCCTTCATTTTGGATGGTTAATGGTTCCTTCAAATTGGATGGTTGATGGTTCCTTCATATTGGATGGTTGATGGTTCCTTCATATTGGATGGTTGATGGTTCCTTCATATTGGATGGTTGAGGGTTCCTTCATGTTGGATGGTTGAGGGTTCCTTCATTTTGGATGGTTAATGGTTCCTTCAAATTGGATGGTTGATGTTTCCTTGATATTGGATTGTTGAGGGTTCCTTCATATTGGATGGTTGATGGTTCCTTCATATTGGATGGTTAATGGTTCCTTCATATTGGATGGTTGATGTTTCCTTCATATTGGATGTTTGATGGTTCCTTCTTATTGGATGATTGCTTGTTCCTTCATATTGGATGGTTGAGGGTTCCTTCCTATTGGATGGTTGAGGGTTCCTTCAAATTGGATGGTTAATGGTTCCTTCATATTGGATGGTTGAGGGTTCCTTCATATTGGATGATTGATGGTTCCTTCATATTGGATTGTTGAGGGTTCCTTCATATTGCATGGTTGATGTTTCCTTCTTACTGGATGGTTGATGTTTCCTTCATAGTGGATGGTTGAGGGTTCCTTCATATTGGATGATTGATGGTTCCCTTCATATTGGATGGTTGATGGTTCCTTCATATTGGATGGTTGATGGTTCCTTCATATTGGATGGTTAAGGGTTCCTTCATTTTAGATGGTTTATGTTTCCTTCATATTGGATGGTCGATGGTTCTTTCATGTTGGATGGTTAATGGTTCCTTCATATTGGATGGTTGATGGTTCCTTCTTATTGAATGGTTGATGGTTCCTTCTCATTGGATGGTTGAGGGTCCTTCATATTGGATGGTTGAGGGTTCCTTCTTGTTGGATGGTTGAGGATTCCTTCCTATTGGATGGTCGAAGGTTCCTTCATATTGGATGGTTGAGGGTTCCTTCCTTTTTGATAGTTGAGGGTTCCTTCATATTGGGTTGAGGGTTCCTTCCTATTGGATGGTTGAGGGTTCCTTCGTATTGAGTGGTTGATGGTTCCTTCTTATTGGATGGTTGATGGTTCCTTCATATTGGATGGTCGAGGGTTCCTTCATATTGGATGGTTGAGGGTTCCTTCCTTTTGGATTGTTGAGGGTTCCTTCAAATTGGATGGTTAATGGTTCCTTCATATTGGATGGTTGAGGGTTCCTTCATGTTGCATGGTTAATGGTTCCTTCATGTTGGATGGTTGATGGTTCCTTCTTATTGGATGATCGATGGTTCCTTCATATTGGATGGTTGACGGTTCCTTCATGTTGGATGGTTGATGGTTCCTTCTTGTTGGATGGTTGAGGGTTCCTTCATATTGGATGGTTGAGGGTTCCTTCATGTTGGATGGTTGAGGGTTCCTTCATTTTGGATGGTTAATGGTTCCTTCAAATTGGATGGTTGATGTTTCCTTCATATTGGATTGTTGATGGTTCCTTCATAATGGATGGTTGATGGTTCCTTCATATTGGATGGTTAATGGTTCCTTCATATTGGATGGTTGATGGTTCCTTCATATTGGATGGTTGATGGTTCCTTCTTATTGGATGATTGCTTGTTCCTTCATATTGGATGGTTGAGGGTTCCTTCCTATTGGATGGTTGAGGGTTCCTTCAAATTGGATCGTTAATGGTTCCTTCATACTGGATGGTTGAGGGTTCCTTCATATTGGATGATTGATGGTTCCCTTCATATTGTATGGTTGATGGTTCCTTCATATTGGATGGTTGATGGTTTCTTCATATTGGATGGTTAAGGGTTCCTTCATTTTAGATGGTTGATGTTTCCTTCATATTGGATGGTCGATGGTTCTTTCATGTTGGATGGTTAATGGTTCCTTCATATTGGATGGTTGATGGTTCCTTCTTATTGAATGGTTGATGGTTCCTTCTCATTGGATGGTTGAGGGTCCTTCATATTGGATGGTTGAGGGTTCCTTCTTGTTGGATGGTTGAGGATTCCTTCCTATTGGATGGTCGAAGGTTCCTTCATATTGATGGTTGAGGGTTCCTTCCTTTGGATGGTTGACTGGTTCCTTCATATTGGACGGTTGAGGGTTCCTTAATATTGGATGGTTGAGGGTTCCTTCGTATTGGGTGGTTGATGGTTCCTTCTTATTGGATGATTGATGGTTCCTTCATATTGGATGGTTGACGGTTCCTTCATATTGGATGGTTGATGGTTCCTTCTTATTGGATGGTTGAGGGTTCCTTCATATTGGATGGTTGATGGTTCCTTCATATTGGATGGTTGATGTTTCCTTCATATTGGATGGTTGATGGTTCCTTCATGTTGGATGGTTAATGGTTCCTTCATTTTGGATGGTTAATGGTTCCTTCTTATTGGATGATTGATGGTTCCTTCATATTGGATGGTTGATGGTTCCTTCTTATTGGATGATTGAGGGTTACCTTCATTTTGGATGGTTAATGGTTCCTTCTTATTGGATGGTTGACGGTTCCTTCATGTTGGATGGTTGAGGGTCCTTCATATTGGATTGTTGATGGTTCCTTCTTATTGGGTGGTTAATGGTTCCTTCATATTGGATGGTTGATGGTTCCTTCTTATTGGATGGTTGAGAGTTCCTTCATATTGGATGGTTGATGGTTCCTTCATATTGGATGGTTGAGGGTTCCTTCATATTGGATGGTTGAGGGTTCCTTCATGTTGGATGGTTAATGGTTCCTTCATTTTGGATGGTTGATGGTTCCTTCTTATTGGATGATTGATGGTTCCTTCATATTGGATGGTTGACGGTTCCTTCATGTTGGATGGTTGATGGTTCCTTCTTATTGGATGGTTGATGGTTCCTTCATATTGGATGGTTGAGGGTTCCTTCATGTTGGATGGTTGAGGGTTCCTTCATTTTGGATGGTTAATGGTTCCTTCAAATTGGATGGTTGATGTTTCCTTCATATTGGATTGTTGATGGTTCCTTCATATTGATGGTTGATGGTTCCTTCATATTGGATGGTTAATGGTTCCTTCATATTGGATGGTTGATGTTTCCTTCATATTGGATGTTTGATGGTTCCTTCTGGTTGGATGATTGATGGTTCCTTCAGATTGGATGGTTGAGGGTTCAGGGTTCCTTCAAATTGGATGGTTAATGGTTCCTTCATATTGGATGGTTGAGGGTTCCTTCCTATTGGATGATTGATGGTTCCTTCATATTGGATGGTTGAGGGTTCCTTCATATTGCATGAGTTCCTTCCATATTGCATGGTTGATGTTTCCTTCTTACTGGATGGTTGATGTTTCCTTCATATTGGATGGTTGAGGGTTCCTTCATATTGGATGATTGATGGTTCCTTCATATTGGATGGTTGATGGTTCCTTCATATTGGATGGTTGATGGTTCCTTCATATTGGATGGTTAAGGGTTCCTTCATTTTAGATGGTTGATGTTTCCTTCATATTGGATGGTCGATGGTTCTTTCATGTTGGATGGTTAATGGTTCCTTCATATTGGATGGTTGATGGTTCCTTCTTATTGAATGGTTGATGGTTCCTTCTCATTGGATGGTTGAGGGTCCTTCATATTGGATGGTTGAGGGTTCCTTCTTGTTGGATGGTTGAGGATTCCTTCCTATTGGATGGTCGAAGGTTCCTTCATATTGGATGGTTGAGGGTTCCTTCCTTTGGATGGTTGAGGGTTCCTTCATATTGGACGGTTGAGGGTTCCTTAATATTGGATGGTTGAGGGTTCCTTCGTATTGAGTGGTTGATGGTTCCTTCTTATTGGATGATTGATGGTTCCTTCATATTGGATGGTTGATGGTTCCTTCATATTGGATGGTTGATGGTTCCTTCTTATTGGATGGTTGAGGGTTCCTTCATATTGGATGGTTGATGGTTCCTTCATATTGGATGGTTGATGTTTCCTTCATATTGGATGGTTGATGGTTCCTTCATGTTGGATGGTTA